CATGATTAGGCCCTGGGTGGATCTCTGTGAGTCCAATTAGCGAGAACGAGGAGGGTTTATATGAGCGAGAATTGTTGAGACCAAGGTTGGATAAAGCACAGGGACAAATAGTCAAATGAATGGAAACACATGAACTGTGAACCAATGGCTGAGGGGTCACCAGCTGGATCAGGCCCTCTGAGTGGGTGAGACAGTTGATTGGCCTGATCTGTTTGGGAGGCATCCAGGCAGTGGGACCCGGTCCTGTGCTCATTGCATGAGTTGGCTGTTTGAAACCTGGGGCCTATGCAGGATTGCTTGGCTCGCCCTGGGAGGAGGGGACTGGACCTACCTGGACTGAGTCTACCAGGTTGATCTCAGTCTGTGGGGAAGGCTTTGCCCTGGAGGAGATGGGAATGGGGGGGGGGCTGGGGGGAAGGTGAGGGGGACGGGAGGGGGGAGAACAAGGGAATCCGTGGCTGATATGTAGAACTGAATTTTATTGCAAAATAAAAATAAAAAATATATATATATTTGGAATAGTAAAACTTCACTTTCAAGGTAAAGGAAATAGTGTACCTGGGGATATAACTCAGTGGGTAGTGCTTTTACCTAACATATGCGAAGTCCTGGGTTCAATCTCCAGATTACAAAAATAAGTATATAAATGAGTAATAAAGAGGAAATATGAGAAATACAGGAAATATAAAAGCAAACTAGAAAGTAGTCTACCTCTGGGTCATTTTTGTACATTAGTTTCTGATAGGTTATGAGAACTTCTGTTATGCAATATGCATCAATGCTTTGGTACTATTTCCTTATAGACAAAGTAGTAATTTCCTTTATGTACTATATTCTCTCAAAAGTCTTGATAGATTCTATGCAATGATCAATGATAAACCAAATAATCTCACTGTAGTAAAAATAATGAAAAAACAATGAGTGCAGAAAGGAATATTAAGGTGACCAGATACTGGGAATTTTGAATTCCAAATTGAGGTCAACCAATCTTGTCGGCATGGTGACAGAAAGAGTCATCAGTGCCCATGATTTAAACTGAAAATTTAGCAGTTAACTAAAAGGGGAAAGTGTTAAATTAAATTTGGCCTAATAGTATCTCCATACACAAAGAGCTGCAACCAAATGTACAGAAATAGACTATTACTAAATTCACCTTTACAACAAGCAGCTGCGTCTTAACCAATCACAGCAGCCAGACTTCAACTCATCACCACTGACAGCTGATCAGACCACGCCCATGTGAGCCAAATGATGACCTGAAAACCCTAAGCAGTTTCTCTAAGTCATGACCTCTTTCTGTCTGTAAACAGTGCCTGCCTAATTGATGGACTGAGCTGTCTGAATCTCTTCTTGAGTCAGCTGGATTTATGAATCATTTTTTGCTCAAACAAATTCTAATAAAAATATGTTTGAAGATTTTCTTCTAATCAAGGTCTGAAAGACATTCAAGCTACTAATTCTGAATAGGCTAAGACTCAGAATAAAAGGCATGGTCATGGAACAAGTCTTAAAGAAGTTAAATTTAGATAAGAATTGCAAATTGAACTTTAAAAAAATAATGTCAGTGTAGACAATTATTTATTGTATCCATCACTTCTATAGCAAAGAAATTAAGAAACAGTATTTTCTACAAATTGAAAAGTGAAGATATTGAGAAATCAGAAACTGGAAAACTATAGAATGATAAAGAGAAGAAAAATGACAATTCGTAACCAACTGTGATAGTAACGAAGTTCATGTTACGGGGTTTACTGTGGGACTTGCAGTTTCTCCCCATGTGCACCCCTTGGTTACTTATGCTCTTTCACTATCTCAGGCAGGCTCCATTTGCTTTCACTTCACCAGTTGAGAATTGAAAATCATCTCGAAAAAGTAAAAAGTATATTCCCTGCTATCTAAGGAAATTCCAATGTCTTTTTGGCAAAGGATACAAGCTGGTAAGGCTTCTTGTTTTCTGCCTTACCCTGAGGTCAGGTAATTTTATGTCCTAAGTTTATTAGGCAATGTTGCACAGACACTATTCCGGCATCAAGATGGACACAGCCCTGACTGTCCTTCTTGTTCATCAACAGCTCCTGTGAAAAATGCTCTAAGGAGAAATCATTTAGAGAATGTATAGCGTGTGTGTTATGAGATGTTTAGCATAAGCTTCTATGTCCAGCAGAATTCTGAGATTATGTGCGGATCATCTTCTTATACTAATGGGGAGACTCCTCTGAATTAGTCTTTGCTGAAGCCTTCAATCATAAAAGGGTACTGTCAGGAATAGCTACAAAGCCTGTCAAATTTATCATTATTTATAAGAATGGTGTTGATAAAATATCATTACTATAAGAGTGGTGTTGATAAAACTAAGTCATTTTGCTTGATAAAAACCTATATAAATATTATCAACAGACAAATATCTTAATAGTGATAGTTCTATCATTGTTACCATTAATTTAACTATAAGAAATTATAGTTACACACATAGATGCAATGTTTTATGTGAGTTATTATTATTCCCTAGCAACTTGAATCTTCATCTTATAGAAATTTGTTATGGAACTAACCCAGCTTCCCACACACAGAATCACTAGAAAGCTAAGGAAAAGAAAGACTTATATTATCACTTCTAACATGAAACAGTTCATATACTGACAAGTTTTTATTGTATATTTGAATACCTTCAAAATAATTAAAATTCAATCACCCATGCTCTGTTAGAAGAGAGTCGAGCTTTTGGTGTAATTTCTTTCTTTCTTTTTTTTTTTTATTTTGCAATACAATTCAGTTCTACATATCAGCCACGGATTCCCTTGTTCTCCCCCCTCCCGTCCCCCTCACCTTCCCCCCAGCCCCCCCCCCCCCCCATTCCCATCTCCTCCAGGGCAAAGCCTTCCCCACAGACTGAGATCAACCTGGTAGACTCAGTCCAGGTAGGTCCAGTCCCCTCCTCCCAGGCCGAGCCAAGCAATCCTGCATAGGCCCCAGGTTTCAAACAGCCAACTCATGCAATGAGCACAGGACCGGGTCCCACTGCCTGGATGCCTCCCAAACAGATCAAGCCAATCAACTGTCTCACCCATTCAGAGGGCCTGATCCAGTGGGGACCCCTCAATGGTGGGAATGCAAGCTTGTACAACCACTCTTGGTGTAATTTCTACTTGACAGCAATTATGGGGGCATTCTTACTTTTCAGCTCTTCTTCACTCTCAACGGTATTCATGATGCTGTCTAGCGTTTCATTCTCTTCAAGTTCCTTCCTGAAACATTTATGCTTTAGGTTGCCCATGAACAGCTGGAGTCCAATTAACGCAAAGACACTGAGACAGAACACAGTGAGGATCATGACGTCAGAAAGCTTCTTCACCGACTGGATCAGGGCCCCCACGATGGTCTTCAGTCCTTAAAATGTAGGGGGGAAAAGTACGTTCACAAGGACATAAAGGCTCTGGGTGAGAAACAAATCAAAACACAAGCCTTACTAGAAATGCATGCATTATGTCAAATCAATGGCCTTAAATATTTGAAACCAGAGAAGTCTTCTGGTTCAAAAGTGTGAATCTGCACAATTTGTTTCTATAAACTACCACGAGTGGTTAAAACTAATAAAATATTCCTAAAGAATCATCAGATTCATTAGTTAAGTGTGGTGGTTGCTGAAACCATAGCCACACTTACAAATATAATTTTTGTAACTGCTAATTCAGTAAACGTTGGTCAAACAAATCACCTCTACATAATGAAACTAAAAATGTAAGAAACTGAATAGAAGCACACAGTGACAACGTATACTGAACCAATTTTCAAGTAAGAAACAGTTTGTTGAAAGAGATAAAACAGTATCATGCAATGCCCACATGCTTATATTTCTTATCTTCTTAATTACATGAAGTTCTGGTTAGTTGAAATTTTCCTTCCTGAAAAAGTGGAAAATTAGACCTTTGGCAGGAGGAAAAATTTCAAGTGGAGATGTGAGCCAAGTGGTCATCTGCCTTCTCCAAGACCCATGCAGCTGGTTAAACTCAAGGGCTGACTTTTTAATAAAGATTGCAATACAAAAACAGAAGAAATGCAATTTGGTTTGAATTACAAAAGGAAATTCTTTTTCTCCAAAAAATCAAAATCAGCCCCTGTGTTTAACCCCACTCTCACCTGGAATGACTGATATAGTTTTCAATGCTCGGAGAACTCTGAACGTTCTCAACGCTGAGACATTGCCCAGGTCCACAAACTCTGTCACATATCTGTAATAGGGGAGTTCACACACAAACACAGTGACAACACACACAGACAAAGAAAACTCCCAAACAGCTGGAGTTGAGTGGCCTAATGCTTCACACCAATCTTACCTGGGATAACAGAAATAGTTTTCAAAGCTCTCAAGACTCTGAAAGTTCGAAGAGCTGAAACATTGCCTAGGTTTACAAATTCTGTTAAATACCTGTAGAATTAAATCAGAGTTATTCAGAATCTATGTAGAGTCTTAATACTTACCCGTTCTGTTACTCAAAGTATTTTCTATATGTAGTTTGGCAAGTCTTTTCCTATCCTAATTTAACCTAATGTATATGATTTGAATTATTTGATGAAAGTACAAATATTGTATTTTAATGTGGTTCATATGCTTAAATAATCAAATGTTATCAGCTTAGCATAGTAATACCGAGTTTTAATCTCCTCCAAAATATTGAAAGCACTATACTAAGTAAAAGAAGTCAAACACAGCAAATTTCTCTCAAATGGAATGTCCAGCATTAGAGGTTTCCATAGAGTAAAAGCAATGTAGTATTTCTAAGAGTCTGTATTAAGAGGAGACTAATAATCAGTGAAGGATTTCTTTTTGGAGTGAGTAAAATATTCTCAATTTAGATAGTAGTGGTGGCTGTGCAATTTGCAAGTATACTAGAAAACACTGAATTGCATACTTAAAAATGATGAACTTTGTGATACATGAATTAAACAGAGAATGGGGAGCCATGAGAAAAGTACCCATATTTCCATTTTCTTATCCACAGGAGACAACAGAGCTACAGCTTCTCTATTGGAGGAAACCTGATGAGTAAGGAGGTAGGCAGGGATGAGGGAATACGAGACTAGAAATCTAAGACCCTTCTGAATTGTCAAAAGGTCTCAGGTAGACTTTTATTACTTTTATAATCCAAGATAATAGAGGAAATTATCTAGGGTTGAGATTTTAAAAAAGATTTCTGACAAATGCGTTTGCAAAAGGATATGAATAACTGAAAATTACACTTAAAGTAGACTATGGTGTATATGCAATAACTGTACAGTACATTAATGATAGGAGCAGTGTGTGATGACAACTCTGTTAAGAATATTTAACTTTTTGTTTTAATAGACTTACTTGCTCATGAATACAGGCACTGTGCTTACAATCAGAGGTCTTTAGTGAGCATTATGAGTGCTTCTCACACACTTTTTAGCTTTTAAACAAAATCTTTTTTTTAAAGATTTATTTATTTATTATGTATACAGCATATGTAACTGCAGGCCAGAAGAAGGCACCAGATCTCATTACAGATGGTTGTGAGCCACCATGTAGTTGCTGGGAATTGAACTCAGGACCTCTGGAAGAACGGCCAGTGCTCTTAACCTATGAGCCATCTCTCCAGCCCCTTAAACAAAATCTTAAGGAAAGTGTGTACCTAATTAATACTGTATGCCTACTCATACAATACATGCCAATTCAAGTCCAGAGCAGGAAGAAAAATAATCTTTATATTAATCATGTTTTGGGTGGAAAACACTTTCTGAAAAAAATATGTGAATAAGTAGTTTCTGTACAAGTCCATTTACCTTTAAATATAGTTATTGTATGCAAGAACAATCAGTCTCCAAAAGTTGTTTTTACTGGAATACTATTCTGAGACCTTCATAAAATTTCCATTTCAAAAAATTGAGAGTACTTACGCAAAAACAATGACTATAAAATCCAGCCAGTTCCAAGGGTCACGGAGGAAGGTGAATTCTCCCACGCAAAAGCCTCTTGCAAGGATTTTTATGAGTGATTCAAAAGTATATATCCCAGTAAAAGTGTATCTGAAGTAAAGAATCCATTGAAATGTTAGTTGTGAAATGAATAACATCTCATTAAAATCTTTACATTTATTATCCCTGATTAATCAAAGGAAAGCATCTCCTGAAAGCTGCTGATGAATGGATCACCCCACCTCACAGAATATACTACACAAATGATTTCCAGTAACTCTTAAAATGTCCTTATCAGAGACACTCACAGAAGACACAAGTACTGAAAAGACTCAGAACATAGGTATTAGATCTGACTAGACAATCCCAATAGAGTGACTAAGAACAATATAGTCACTAACATGAGATACCTATCGTGTTTATGAACATGAAAGGGGATATGATAAGTTCACTCTTCAGAAACATGGTAGTATATAATGATTCAAATATATTCCCAGTGAGTTAACACAAAAGAAAGAAAGATCTCAAAGAAAATGTTAGGCATGAGAAGGTAAACTACATTGTTTTATAGATTCATTTAACTTCTCAACTTCTGTTAGGAAAAAGAAAGCATGAAAACGGTCATTTAACTCTACTTTAAAATGTACTAATGCACACTTACTCTACATTTTTGGTCCAGTCTGGAGGGTTGCTCATGGTCATGAATATACAGTTGGTCAGAATTGTGCACATGATTAGCATGCTGAATAAGGTAACTGCTAGTCAAGGAATGTGGGACACCACAAAAGGAAGAGCTGATGATGACATTGGTTGAAATGCAAACAACTTTTCTTTAGAAAATAATCAAGATGGATGCATAGGTTATTTTTTGGTGCTTTGAATAAAATTAACATATTCTAAAATACTAACAAGACCACCCTCTCATTCTCTTTTGAGAATAACTTATATTGTAATCTATAAAGATCTTTCAAGGTGCAGAAGAACCCATATCTAGGTCTGAGTACAGGAGCAAACCCTTAAGCTAGGCTTTGCAAAGGATATGAATGCACTAAAATCTTAATAGATATTCTTCTTAGAGGACTGAAAGGGGACAGCATGTACAAAGCAGGTGTGGCGTTGAAACGGAAGATTGCTTTCCCTTTGTTCAATACTATAAAAGTCTGCAAGAGGAAAAAGAAACAGGATGAAGCTGTACTCACAACATTTCCATCCAGCACATTGTTATGAGCAGTTCATACCTCCACATCGTAGCGCAGGGCAGAAGAAATCCTGCCGTGGGACTTTACAAGCAGTTCCAATGCATGGAAGCAGGTGTCAGTCACTTTGGCCAATGAATTACAAGGCTGCTTCTTTTCAATAAATGAAGAATTGAGCTATATACAAGTATATATCTATATCTGTATCTACATCTATCTATCTATATCTTGGGATGTATATAACTCACTTGTAGGCAAGCCCAATTTTTAAAAATTGTAACAATATATCGTCATCTACAAAGTTCATGCTGATTAACCCCAAAATAAAGTTGCCAGAACAAAAGTCTCATGATGAAAATGTGTTTGTGAGGGTGTGTTGGAGAACAATCGAGTTCTTCTCAGCTACACACAGCCCAGAGGGAAGGAGGAGAACACTTTGAGGGAGCTTCCAAAACATTAAGTCTTTCCTTTGTCAGAGCCCTTCAGTGATTGCAATCACTTGTCATAACCAAAATTAATTTTAAATATAACTTTTCTCTCTTCTATCATACAGATGTTAACATTGGGTAGAAACTATTTCTGAATTCTACCACAACACCTCGAGAGTTACAAAACTTGCTGAGAATTGTCATGGTTACTACAAAATGGATAACATTTTTTTTTTCACAAGTAAGGCATGTCCTTGGGGTGTGTGTGTGTGTGTGTGTGTGTGTGTGTGTGTGTGTGTATGTGTGTATTTACATGCATGCATTTGCCTAAGGATTCTGATGCACATACAAATGTGTACATATGCATGTGAGACCAGAAGACAACCTCAAATGTATTTCTCAGGTATAATAGACCTAGTTTTTATGAGACAGAGTCTCTCACTGGCCTCTGCTCTAAGATTCTATTAGGCTGGCTGGCCAGTGGGCTCCAAGGGACACATCTATCTCTGACTTCTCAGGGCTAGGGATATAAGCCATAACGTCCACTTTTCTTTTTAATGTGGGTTCTGGGTTGGAACTCAGACCCTCCTTGCAGTACAAGTACTTTGATGATGGAGCTGTCTCCCCAGCTTGGGAACATCCTTCCAATCAGTCACTTCAATTCTCATATTTTAGTTGTATAACTGTAATGCTTAAAAACTAAAAAATGTGTTTGCTAACATTCGTTGAAATTTTGAAAAATAATATATACATGTAGATAGTTCAATTCTTCCTTTACTGAAAATAAACCGTCTTGGAGTTAATTAGCCAAATTCATTTTTAAAATTTCATTTAAAAATTTAAAATAAAAAATTCTTTTTTTTGTTTTGTTTTGTTTTTTGTTTTTTTTATTTTATAATTTAATTCAAATTTACATATCAGCCACGGATTCTCCTATTCTCCCCCCTCTAGCCCCCCATCCCACCCCCCACCTTCCTTCCCACCCCCACCCCCATTCCCATCTCCTCCAGGGCAAAGAATCCCCTGGGGATTGAGTTCAACCTGGTAGATTCAGTCCAGGCAGGTCCAGTCCCCTCCTCCCGGGCTGAGCCAAGTGTCCCTGTATAAGCCCCAGGTTCCAAACAGCCAGCTCATGCACTGAGGACAGGTCCCAGTCCCACTGCCTGGATTCCTCCCAAACAGATCAAGCCAATCAACTGTCTCACTTATCCAGTTGGGGACTCCTCAGCTATTGGTTCATAGTTCATGTGTTTCCATTCGTTTGGCTATGTGTCCCTGTGCTTTTTCCAATCTTGGTCTCAACAATTCTTAAAATGTTTTGTTTCCCTTGAGACAGACCAGTGACTCATGGCAATGAACACTTGCAAGTAAAGACGAATGGACTAAAGGGTAAACTGTGCGACTCAACAGGCCACACTACAGCTTCTACGACAAGATTCTTCTTTTTTTATGTTTGTTTTTGTTTTATTTCCTTGGTTTTTGGTTTTTCTTTCAAATTTGGTTTTGATTTGGGGAGTAGATAGGGAGAGAAGTGTGATCAGAATGCAATTTATAAAATCCACAAAGAATCAATAAAAGTATGAAAAACAAACAAACATGTTGTGTTTCGGCCAATGCAAGATAAGTGACATCTCCCATAAATTTTGCATTTAGTTAAACAAATTGACAAATGATAACTTCAAAATATTAAAACAATCCAAGACTAAGTTTAAATCACATTATGATTTTCTGCACTCAGAAGGCAAAATTCTTGTGTTATCTAGAAGGCAGTGATATTTTTCTTTTGTTGTCTTGTTTACTGAGTTTTATATGTGTTTATAAACAGGCTTCCAACAACAGATCTTTTTCACCAAATTGGGGAGATAAGCTTCTAAGTCTGTGCTTTTGTATGGGAAATCTATTTTTTTCTTTTTGAGGTTAGTATTGTCTCAACAAACTGAGCTTTCTACAAATGCATAGTGAGGAATTGTGTCATAAAAGCAAAGAACGGAGTCAAAACTAACATGAAAACCACTCTGCTCTTACAGTCTTAGCAAGATCAAGTTATATTGCTTTTGAAATTAAAAAAATAAAATAAAATAAATTAATGACTTTGGTGTTTTAAATTTCTTTTTCCTATTATTGAAAACTGATTTTTCGCTAACATAATTTATACTGTTTACCGTTGTTCTTCCTTCTACTCCTCCCAGTTCCTTCCCACTACCCCTCTTGTCTGGATCCAATCCCTTTCTGTCTCTCATTAGAAAACAAACAGCCTACTAACGAATAATAATTTATGCTATCATTATTCATTTGTAGTAAAACAAAATTAATGGAATTTAAAAATTCACACACACAGGAATTAAATATTACCATTAACAGCTGGCAAGAGGGCTCAGTGGGTAGAGGCATTTTCTACCAAGCCTGATGATGACTTTAGTTGATCCCTAGGCCTCACATAGTGGAAGTAGAGAATCAACTCCCACAAAGTTGAGAATTCATCCTTGCACCCTACATACCAAATACGTGTAAATAAATTATAGCCATAACTATAAAATTACAGGTGATGTGTTCACCGTGTCATACCTAAAAAGGAAGACTTCCTATTGATTATGTTAAAAAATATTCAAATAAAATCAAATAAGCATGCTAATGGTACTACCAGTTTTAATGAAATACTAGAAAAAAGTACATATTCTCAACATCCTAATTTGTATTTAGTATAAGACGAATGAAGTCATTAAGTTTCATGTATCTTTGTATGGAATGAAGTCAAGAGAACCCTACCATTGAAGTCTTAATAACTTACTTTCTTGTCGGCATAGTATGGGTCCAGGTCCTCCAGGGGCTCTGACACCATCCCAGGGGGAATGTCTCCATAGATGAAGGGCAGTTGTTTACCAGCTTCCAAGTCACTGCTGGGCTTGGGACCTTCTTCATCATCTTCTTTCTTTTCATCTTTGTGTTCCTTGGTTTTTTCTTCAGAAATGCGTTGTTCAATGAGGGCAAGAGACTGTTTTGTAAAGTACACAAAGCTCTGTGGTCCTGGGGGAGGCAGCATCGCCATCTTTTCATCCTGTATATTTTATTTCCCCTTTAGCTCCTTACCTAAGAGGCCTGGGTAAAAATAAAGAAGTGAAAACATAAGTACATGGCTTCTCAAGAAGACAATTTAAAAATTAATGTCAACAAACTCCAGCCTAGAAGTGTGTTTGGTGGATGTGATTGTTATTGATAGCCAACCTGATGCGCCTTGGAGGATTATATGTGGTGTGTGTGTGTGTGTGTGTGTGTGTGTGTGTGTGTGTGTGTGTGTGTATAGATTGGGTTAGTCTATGGATATGACTGTGAAGGAGTATCTAGATCAGATTAACTGAAATAGGAAAAAATTCCTTGTATGTAGGCATCACGATTTCATTGTCTGGGATCTCGAACTTCATAAAAAGAAGAAAACTAACTGAACCCAAGCATTCACTACACTGTGCTTCCTGATTATGGACAGAATGTGACCAGCTGCCTCGAGGCCATGCTTCTATGACTTGTCTGCCATGGTGGACTGTACCCTTAAACAGTGAGTCAAATTAGCCTCTCCTTTCCTTAAAGCTTGCTTCTTGTCAGGTAGTAATTACAGCAAAATGAAATATAATGGACTAGTAGAGTACTTTCTTTTCATGCACAAAGGCTTTGGCTTTGAATTTCAAATCCAAACAAATAAACAACAAAACAACAGATTCAAGTATAAGAGGTAATGTGTATATAAATTCAAACTATGAAGTAACCCTGCTGGGCCAGAAATTCATATTGCTTCTTTGTTAAAATATTTGAATCTAGCAATCACAACTCTAAAGTGAAATAAAAATTATAGTTTCCAGGGAAAAATGTTTTAAACCCACTTTATTTTTCATCTGTAATATATATATATATATGCATATGCACTATATAATATATTAAAGCAATCAGTGAAGTTGTCTAATGCTGGTCAAATGAAATAACACTATTGCCAGGTATAGTCAAAGTTATTTAAAACGCAAACAGGCCTTTTCTCTGGCACTGGTGTTGATGTTGAATTATTAAATGTGACCGTTTCCAGAGAACATCTCTGTATTTTAAGGTGAAAAGTGAAATGTACAGGAAATGTTTGGAAATGTTTACTTTGATCATGAAGTGTGCTTTTCTCAAGGCTTCAATGGTAACATAAACCTTAGATTTTGTTATTCAGACCAGGAATCAGAAAGCTTCTCACTGTGCTCAGCATGGAGGCCTGTCACTATACAGCCAGAACTCCAGAGTCAAAGGCAGAAAATCTTAAGTTCAAGACCAGCCTGGGCTACACTGCAAATCCTGCCTGAAAAAGTGAAAGTAAACTAAAACAATAACAACTAACTTGGCAGATTGTGTTTTAAGGGACTTCATCACTTGCAGAGGGTAAATTAAGGAGAGTTGTTATATTCTGCTCTTTTTGTTTTTCCTGAAGCCCATTGTAAACTGCATGTGAATTGTATCAATGATCATAATAGGTATATAAATGCAGAAAGAGATTGTTGAAACAATTTTTTCCTGGATTTGTCCCATTCCCTTGGCATAACTAATGAGCTTCAATTAGGACGAAGTGGATTACTTTTCTTCTCTGGCAGCTGGGCACATTGCAAGTGAGCTGGATGAATACCAATGCCCTAAGGTGACATAAGTCAAAATGAAATCTTCAATATGCAGAGAGATGTTGAGGTGAGGTGTGGCTCATCTGTTACCACAGCTGCTTCCAGCTTCCCTTACTCTGTTGGATGACTCAGTAAGGACATGTAGAAATTGTAGGTGTCTTCAAAGAAGTTTAGAAACAATAGAAGTATTTTTGAATGTAGTTTGTTTCAAGGTTTGTGGAACAAACTCAGCTTTTGTGAGGAATGCTTTTAATGGTTTATGAGGTAGTTGACATGCCATGGTACACTCCACATTTCCTTTCTAGTCTGCTAATTCTTTACTTACAGGAAGTAGCTCACCAAACACTAAATCTGCACATTTCATTATACCATATATTTATACCTGTGAGAATTAAGAGAAAAATAGAGCTTTGTCTTCAACAAACTTGTGTGTGAAAAAGGCACACTATCCACTCCAAAGATAGACTTGGCTTCACTCTAACAAAGGCAAATATGACTAGGATAAGTAGCTTTCAGCATCTTTTCTACTCTCACAAAGAAACACAGAGAGAGGTGTAAGCACATGTCAGGAGATAATCACAGGTTAATAGAAGTTCTGGGTGTAGCGCAAAGTTCTACATTTCTGACATAAATGGCTGTGTCTTTTCCCTTTGTCTATTTACTTGCTATAGTGGAGAACTGAAAGGCATTGTGGAAGCAGAGACAAATTTCACAAATAAAATATACTGAAAGTCATGTAATGTTATATTTGGAAATAAAGCATCTGTACTTATACACTCAGAATTATAAAACTGCATAATCATGAGTAAAGAAGAATGGCCACAGGCAGCTAATATTATTACTGTTTGTGAAGAAAATCTTGATAATTAATTAACTATACTAGCTCTGAGTTGACTCTGTTTCTTTGATACAGTGTGTAGAACTGTCATCACAGACCTACTGACATAATTCCAGATGTTGGTAGCTTTATTGAATTTATATTAATTTAATTTGATAAGTAAGCTCATGAGTACAACTGCCACTAATGCCTGAGACATTCCACAGCATTTGTGGAACACATACAGACATAAGTCCCCAGCCTCCACAGTTTCAGTGGGTTCTTGGTGAACATGACTGAATGACTAGTGATTATACACATTCTAAAGTAGGTGGCAGAGCTGTCTGTTGTTCCCCTCTCAAGAATTATTTGTCAAAATTCCATGTAAATAGACACATGTTATGACCTGTGATGTCTAAACTTTCCCATTGTTTTTAAAGTCACCGTGTGCATGCAGTGAACTCAGATCTCCTGGAACTGGAGTTACAGATGGTTGACTCACCATGTGGGTGCTGGGAATGGAACACAGCTCCTCTGTAAGAGTACCTAGTGCTCTTAATTACTGAGCCATAACTACAGTCCCCCAAAACTCTTTAAAATGTTAAATGAAAGACATAATTGACAGAGAAAAAGAATGTAAAAACCACATAATATCAAAAATGGAAGACATTTAGAAAAATTCAAGAAAATATAATGAAAATAACAGATGAAAGCGTTTCCTTAATAAGGTTAATGTAATAGTATGTCAACATGCAAAACTCAACAAAGAACGACATGACTACACATATACAAATAGTTAGCGACCGTTTCAAGTTACCTATGTCAAACATCACAAGTAGTTGAAGAAAAAAAACTAAAGGGAAGTCAAATATAATTTATTAATGTATGAAAGGCATTAATAAAACAATGATATTTGAGATAAAATATCTAAATAATATGAATAAATAAGGTACACAGCTGTTTGCATAGATATTTTGCAGATCTAGCCAAAGTTTTAAATACGTTGGCTTATGTTTGTTGCCAAATGCTTTCCCTTCTAGGAATTTATCCAAAGCCAATAATGTCAAATTCCTCCTAACAATTATGAAGATGTTTATTGAAATGTTTTGTACTAAATAAAATTGTAATCAATACATATATTAAAGTCAGAATTTATTAAGTAACAAAATGAACACATAAGAATAAACCTGAGCAGCTTTTGAAGAGTGCTTTCATAGACTAATAGTTTATAAACAGCTTATAATGGATAACTGATGGACTGCAATTTTCATTCACACATGTTTTAAGCTAAAATGTAAATGTATAGAAGTACCTTCAGTATGTAACATTTTAAATAAAAGCAATCCCTGGTCTACAATTAGTAATTATTCTTTTACAAGATTTATTACATTTACTTAAGTGTGTATGTGTTTCTTTAATAAAATATTAAAATCATGTTGTACCTCACATGGTGTGAGGTGAGCATCAACCTTTAGGGGTAAGTTTTCTCCTTCTCTCTCATGTAGGTCCAGAGGATCAAACTCAGGTTGTCAGGCTTGATGGCAAGCAGCTTTACCCTCTGAGCAATCTTACTAAGCCAATTATGAGCTATTTTAATAGATTAGTCTTGTTAGTTAAATTATACTTTTGTCTTAAATATTTTATACCGTGAAATGCCGTATTCATATTAAAAAAGGATGCATACTTTTAAACAAAGTATTTGGATCTCATTTTTATTTAGCAAATAAACTAATATTTGTTGCTACCGAGTTTAACTGGTACTTGGAATTAAAAGGTCATCACACTTTTATTATTACTATTATTACATATTCTTTAGAGTGAAATTACAATAATACACACAAAGTTAATAGTTTTTTATTTCAATACTCTTTCGTCCACTTATCCTTAATCTTACAGTAAAGGGCTCTTTAGGCAATTCCCCAAAAGAAAAACTAAGTATGTTATGTTGGTACCTGGAACTTTCAAAAGTTTAAATAATTTCTTGAGTTCCTTATATATTCTGGATATCAGTCCTCTGTCAGATGTGGGGTTGGTGAAGATCTTTTCCCATTCTGTAGGCTGTCGCTTTGCCTTGTTGATCGTAATCTTTGCTCTACAAAAGCTTCTCAGTTTCAAGAGGTCCCATTGATTGATTGTTTCTCTCAGTGTCTGTGCTACTGGTGTTCTATTTAGGAAGTGATCTCCTATGCCAATGCGTTCAAGACTACTTCCTACTTTCTCTTCTAGTAGGTTCAGAGTAGCTGGATTTATGTTGAGGTCCTTGATCCACTTGGACTTAAGTTTTGTGCACGGTGATAGATATGGATCTATTTGCAGCCTTCTACATGTTGATATCCAGTTATGCCAGCACCATTTATTGAAGATGCTTTCATTTTCCATTGTGCACTTTTGGATTAGACATCAAAATGCCCAATAGTCCAATTAAGAAATGGGCTATAGAACTAAACAGAGAATTCTCAACAGAGGAAACTCAAATGGCTGAAAGAAATTTAAGGAATTGCTCAACATCCCTAATCATCAGAGAAATGCAAATCAAAACAACTCTGAGATACCACCTTATGCCTGTCAGAATGGCTAAGATCAAAAACACTGAAGACACCTTATGCTGGAGAGGATGTGGAGCTAGGGGAACTCTCCTCCACTGCTGGTGAGAATGCAAGCTTGTACAACCACTTTGGAAATCAATATGGCGCTTTCTTAGAAAATTGGGAATCCATCTCCCCCAAGATCCAGCTATACCACTCTTGGGCATATACCCAAGGAATGCTCAACCAACCATAAGAGCACTTGTTCAGCTATGTTCATATCAGCATTGTTTGTAATAGCCAGAACATGGAAACAACCTAGATGCCCTTCAACTGAAGAATGGATAAACAAAATGTGGTACATATACACAATGGAATACTACTCAGCAGAGAAAAACAATGACATCATGAGGTTTGCAGGCAAATGGATAGATCTAGAAAAAATCATCCTGAGTGAGGTAACCCAGACTCAGAAAGACAAACATGGTATGTACTCACTCATAGGAGGATACTAGATGTGGAACAAGGATGACTGGACTGCTACTCACATCACCAGGGAGGCTACCTGGAA